AAAAAAAAAAAAAAAAAAGAAAAAGAAAAAAAAAAGAAAGAAAAGAAAAGAAAAGAAAAAGAAAAAAAGAAAATTTATCATGAAAATCCTGGGTATTGCTATGATTAAGTATAGATAGCCAAATTGGAAAAATTATATTTAGAAAGTAAATTTCATTACCCTACAAATAGGAATTCCTTGTAGTCCCATAGTGTAATTTAAAATCTCATTACCCTCTTCCTCAGGCCTATTAGCATGTCCTCTGTGATCATATAGCTGAGAGGATTCATTGACAACAGGAATATCCGTATCTCCCCAACTTACCCTTTTGTTAATTGTGGGATTGGGACTATAAGCTCAGTAAGAATGATTAGTCCCCATTGCCTGTATAGTTACCACAGACAGCATAGCAAGGAAGAGTGTTGTAGCATTCAAAGGTTCCTTGGGCAGCCAAACTATTGCTTCTTCAGTCAGTTTCTTAAGCTGTACCCATGAAGGAGGATCAGCTTCAAGGTCTTTCTGTATCTTTTTCTCCCAAGAGCTGTATTATCCATATCAGCATCCAAGGCATCTTGCTCGTGTCTTTATTAAGTTTTATTAATTTCGATGGTTTCTACAACTTCTGCAGAAACATAAGCATAACTTTGGCCCCATTGTACACCTTCCTTATTTTCCATTCTGCTATCAAAGCATCTTGGTAGTACACAGGCTGACTCAATTCAGCAGGTTTTTTCTGTGGTCCAATGCCTTTCAGCAGCTGTTGTCCCTGTTTCATTAGCATTTAAAAAATTTGAAGTTAGTAAAGCATTATATAATCTGCCTCTGGGAGTCCTCATATCCATCCCCCTTTTGTTGTATCTCTTTTAGAGTTCAGTCAGATATTTCAACAATTGCTTATCCCGTGGGATTATATGGTCTTCCTCTACTGTGTTTTATGTTATAATATGAAAAAAAATTGTTTCATTTTACTGGAAACATAAGAGCATTATCAGTTTTAATTTGTATTAGTATACCCCTTAGAGCCATTGTCTCTAATAATGTGTAATTACAAAATTACAGCCTTTTCAGATGCCCACTGAAATACAGTGTATCAGTGATATAATGAATATATTTTAATTTTTCAAATTCTGCTGAATGAAATACCTCCATTTGTCAAATTTCCTTTCTTTGAATGCCCTTAGGATTGCTTCCTGCAGGTAAAGGAATGTGATTATACAAAGAACAATTAGGACAGTTTTTTTTATAAATTCTTTAGCTTCTTGCCAGGTTACAGAAAATTTTTTCTTTAAGCCTTTACTATGAACATGATATTTGTTTTTTTTTTTAATGAAATTCTGAAACTTCCAATATGTTTGCTACTAACAGTTGATCAATTTTTTTTCATTTCTTTTTGCTAATAGCCCAGGCAGTCCACTATGAGACCAAATATGGGTAATAGAAAGTGGGCAATTTCTTTCTTGGATTGCCTGTTGTGGTTGTATAAACAATAAAGTTAATTCTGAATTATCAGGAGTAATTTCAGCAGTTTTGATATGCAATACAACCCTTCTGCATATTGAAAATCAGTAATTATATGAAGAGATTCATTAAAGTCTAATAAAACCCTTAGAATGACATATAGCTCTGATTTTTAGACTGAAGCATATTGACTTTGAATTAATTTACGTTTCCTACCTTATAATCAGCTATTCCTAATTTATTTGCTTCAGTATAGAATTTAAGAGCCCCAGAAATAGTGCTCTTTTCACTATGCTTGGAAGTATCCATTCTGTTTTATTTTATAAACTGAAGTCTTTTACTTTTGGGGTATTTATTGTTGATTTCTCCTAAATAATTGCTACATGCTCTTTGCCAGTCATCATTAATTACCCACAATTGCGTAATTTCAACTTTAGTATAAGGTACCACAATCTCAGCCAGAGCTATTTTTGACAACTGATAAAGGCTTATTCTTTCTTTTATAATTAATTCAGAAACCTTTTCTATACAGGTTTTTAACTTTTTACTCTTTTTATGGGCTAAAAATATCCATTCTAAAATATTATCTTCCCTTTGCATAATAAGTCCAGTAGGGGAGTGGGTAGATGGCAAAATTATCGAAATACATTCAGTTGTGAGATCTAATCAATCTCTATAGGCATTTTACATTTTTGTTCTACTTGGGCCAGCTCCTTTTCTGTTTCAGCTGTTAAATGCCTTGGATTGCTTAAATCTGAATCACCTTGCCAAATTTGATACAAATTACCTAATTCTTGAGTAGACAATTCAGTGGTAGGCTGTAACCATTTAATATCTCCCAATAATTTTGAACATCATTAAGTGTGTGCAATTGATCTCTTCTAATCTTTACCTTTTGTGGGTGAATTCTCTTTTTACTCAATTTAAATCCTAAACAATTAAGAGAATGTCCTTTTTGGATTTTTCAGGAGAAATTTGCAATCCCCACTGAGGGAAGATCTGTTGTACCTCAGCAAATACCTTTCAATGATATTAATACCAGAGGCAACTATTAAGATATCATCCATATAATGATAAATAATACACTGAGGAACTTGTTTATGAACATTTCTAGTGGTTGATTTCCAAAATATTGACATAAAGTTGGACAATTTAACATTCCCTTGGGAAGAATTTCCAATGATATTGTTTTATAGCTGAGCATTATTATAAGTAGGAACTGTAGAAGCAAATTTTTCTCTATCCTGTTTTTGCAATGGAATAGTAAAGAAGCAGTATTTTAAATCAATAACTATTATAGTTCAAGCTTTAGACAATAAAGAAAATAAAGGAATTCCAGGTTGTAAAGGACCCATGGGTTGAATTAATTTGTTTACAGTTCTTAAATCAGTTAACATTTGCATTTTCTAGATTTCTTTTTTATTACATATGTAGGAGAATTCCAGGGACTTGTAGTTTCCTCAGTGTGTTTATCATCTAACTCTTCTTGTCCTAGTTGCTCAAGTACCTACAATTTTTCTTTAGTCAAGGGCCACTGCTCTACCCATACAGTCTTATTAGTTAACCACTTTAAAGGCAGAACATTCGGGTTTCTGGCAGTGGCCCTTACTCCAAATCTGGATACCCAATTCCTGTCCTTGTTGCTTTTGGACAACTTGCATAGCCTGTGACTTTTCCTTATAATTCTTTCCAATGCCTTTTCTAGGAATATGTGACATTTTAAATATCATTTTCCAAGCTATTTCTGAAATCATAGGAATATTAATTTTAGCTCCTCATTGTTGAAGCAAATCTCTCCACCATAAATTCATGGCTGTATCAGCCACATAAGGCTTTAATAGCCCTTCCTGCCCTTCAGGTCCTATACATTTAATCCATTCCTCACTTTGTTTTATATGAGTTAATGTTCCAATTCTTAAAACTTGAATAGAAACTTCTTGTGAAGGCCAGTTGGGATTCCATGATTCTTGAGAAATTATAGATACATCAGCTCCAGAATCTAATATTCCTTCAATCTCAATCCCACCTAGTTTTCTTTTTAATTTTGGCCGTTCATATTAATGAGTGTTTAACAGCATACTTTTCCCCCAGTACTTTCAAATCCTCCTTTCTACACACTCACTGGAGCTGTTTACTTGAAAGATACAGAAGCAATAGTAATTGAACAATACTATCACCAGCTTCTATTTGCATAGTCTTTTTTTTTTTACATAAGCCATAATTTTGATTTCTCCATGGTAATCTTCATCTATAATTTCTGGGTGTACAATAAATCCTTGAGATGTTAAAGTACTTCTTCCCATAATTATTCCTATTTTCCCTGTGGGAAGAGGACCCTATACTCCAGTGGCTATTTTATAAAAAACAGCACTTCCTGAGTCGCATGCATTAAATCTCCCAAACTGAGCCTAAGTTCCCCTGGTTACTCTGTTGATGAGCCATGCCATTGCTGAGAGGATATTGTTGGCTTGTGTTGTTTATTCCTAGGCCCTGAGCTAAGCTCTTTTTCTGATTTCCTGATAAAAGATTGCCTTCTACATCTCTGACGGGTCTACATTCATTAGTCCAATGTCTACCTTTTCCACACCTCTTACAAACCCCTGACATTGAGATACTTTTCCTTGATTACTTTCAAGAGATACATTTCTTTTTGACATTATTCACGGACAGTTCTTTTTTTAAATGCCCCAGTTTCCCATAGTTAAAACATCCAGTATTGTGAGATTGAAGACCTTTAGCCAAGGCCTGCCCAGTAATATTGGCATTGTAAGCAGCAGATCCGTTGTCAGCAACTTCTCTAATACACTCCTCTAGAAAAGCTCCCTGACCTTTCAAAGGCCTTATGGGTTTCTGACAGTCTGTATTTGCATTCTCAAAAGCCAGACTCCACCAAAACCTTTCTAACATCAAAATCAGCCACTGCTTGTGAACTGCTGAAGTTAATCTTGGTAAAACATTAGTGTAAGCTTCTCCTGAACTTTGTGTAAATTTTGTAAATGAGTTAGTTCTTCCCCCCTGGCCCAAACCCTTAAAGCTGCTAGATGACATCGTACAATAGTTGCATCATCAACGGCACTTGTCTTTGTAAGTCAGCATCCTGACCCTCACCCAGCAATTGTTCCTACAGTTTATTTCCTCCTCTTGTCTGATTATGCTGTTCCATGGCTGCTGCTGCTGCTGCTTTCCATCAGGTGAGTCATTGTAATTAATGACCAGCTTCTAGGATAGCATTCATGTTGTCCTTCCAATCTTGTGGAATAATTCTATTCTGTGTGGCCCAGTTACTTAAACATGAGGTGAATGCATTTCATATGCCACCACTGCTTCTTTAAATCATGTCTGTAGGTTTCCAATCAGTCTGAACAAAGCCCTGTGGAAATTGATCATTTGCAGGCTTTTGCTGCAAAATAACTGGAAACACCTGTGGAGGTGTCCCTATGACCTTTGGCAACCATTCTTCTATTCCCTTGCAAGGTGGTGCCTTGGGTCCACGATTAAACATTTTCTTTCTATTGGGAAAATTCCTTTTCTTTCTCCTTCTCTTACTGGGAAAATTCCTTTTTTAATTTCTTTTCCTTTACCTTTCTCTGTTGTGAAGATGCCTTTTAAAACTTGCTTTCTTTCCCCTTTCTCTGTTGTGAAGGTTTCTTTTTTACTTCTTTTATTTTTTTGTCTCAGGTGTTCATGTATTTGCAAACGTGCAGCTAGCTTTTCAACTTTTCTCATTTCTAAATCTGTTTCATTCTTAAAAGGAGGAAGAGTCATCTCCAGTTTTGGGGGTCACTTTTGTAGACTATCATATCATCTGCAAAAATATATCATCTTCCTTTGCAAATTGTATCCCTTTGATTTCCTCACTTTCATTTGCCCTCCTTTTAAAACAGCACTCTTATCATTCTGTGAAGGGACATTGTCCCCTGCTGACGGACAGTTTCTAGCCAGAATGTACTCCTTTTCACATCCCTGTTCTACATCTGATCCAGCTCTCAGTGACTTCTCACTCTGCAATGGCAAAAGAGCATTAGAAATTAAATTACATAAAGACCAAATTTTTAACAGTATAGGCTTCTCTGTCTGTTGAGCTTCTCTCCAGGCTGCCAACATTTGCTTCTATACCATCAGTTTTAATTGAACATAAGGAGTTGCCTGAAACCAATAACAATGCCCTTTGCTACCAAAAGCTCGGTAAGTTGTTTCTTTTTCACTTTCACTCCATTTCCTCTTAACAAACACTTCAATAACTGCAGGTATTGCTGCTTCAGAGATGAGAAATTTCTCATGGTCCTACCCTATCCTGGAGTCTGTGTTGTGTTGTGCAGGTTGGTGGAAAGAGGTCACTTCAAGATGGAATTTTAAGGCCTGTGTGGTAGCAGGCAGGTCCAGCCTGTCTGTTGGACTGGACCCCCGAACAGCAGTAGAAGAGGCGTATTTATTTCCTCTTCCCAAATTGATCTGTACATCCCTCTTTGGATCCTCGTTTCCTAGCTTCTCTGGAGCCGTGGGTTGTAGTCTGATTATCCTTTGCTTTACATCTAGCATCCACTTACAAGTGAGTACATATCATGTTTATCTTTCTGCATCTAGGTTACCTCACTCAGGATGATATTTTCTAGTTCCACCCATTTGCCTGCAAATTTCATGATGTCATTGTTTTTTACTGCTGAGTAATAATCCATTGTGTATATGTACCACATTTTTTTAATCCATTCTTCGATTGAAGGGCATCTAGGTTGTTTCCAGATTCTGGCTATTTATGAATATTGCTGCTGGGAACATAGTTGAACAAGTGTCCTTGTGGTATGCTTGAGCATCCTTTGGGCTTATGCCGAAGAGTGGTATCATTGGGTCTTGAGGTAGATTGATTCTCAATTTTCTGAGAATCCGACATACTGATTTTGAAAATGACTATACAAGTTTTCACTCCCACCAACAGTGAAGGAGTATTCTCCTTGTTACACATCCTCTTCAGCATAAGCTGTCCTTTTTTTAAAATCTTAGCCATTCTGACAGGTGTAAGATGGTATCTCAGAGTCATTTTGATTTGCATTTCCCTGATGACTAAGGATATTGAGCAATTCTTTAAATGTCTTTCAGCCACTTGGGATTCTTCTGTTGAGAATTTCTTGTTTACATCTGTAGCCCATTTTAATTTTTAATTGGATTGTTTGGTATTTTGCTATCTAGTTTCTTGAGTTCTTTATATATTTTGTAGATCAGCCCTTTGTCAGATGTGGGGTTGGTGAAGATCTTTTCCCATTCTCTAGGCTGTCGTTTTGTCTTACTTACCATGTCCTTTGCCTTACAGAAGCTTCTCATTTTCTTTTCTTTTTTAGTTTTTCGAGACAGGGTTTCTCTGTGTAGCTTTGTGCCTTTCCTGGAACTCACTTGGTAGACCAGGCTGGCCTCGAACTCACAGAGATCCACCTGGCTCTGCCTCTCGAGTGCTGGGATTAAAGGCGTGCGCCACCACCGCCCGGCTGAAGCTTCTCATTTTCAGGAGGTCCCATTTATTAATTGTTTCTCTTAGTGTCTGTGCTACTGGTGTTATATTTAGGAAGTAGTCTTTTGTGCCAATGCTTTCTAGGCTATTTCTTACTTTCTCCTGTATGAGGTTCAGTGTAGCTGGATTTATGTTGAGGTCTTTAATCCACTTGTATTTGAGTTTTGCGCATGGTGATAGATATGGATCTATTTTCAGTCTTCTACATGTTGACATCCAGTTATGCCAGCACCATTTGTTGAAGATGCTTTCTTTTTTCCATTGAACAGTTTTGGCCTCTTTGTCAAAAATCAGCTGTTCATAGGTGTGTGGATTAATGTCAGGAACTTCAGTTTGATTTTATTGGTTTACATGTCAGTTTTTATGCCAATACCAATCTATTTTTATTACTGTAGCTCTATAGTAGAGCTTGAGGTCAGAGATGGTTATGCCTCCAAAAGTTTTTTTATTGTAAAGAATTGTTTTAGCTATCCTGGGTTTTATGTTTTTCCATATGAAGTTGAGTCTTGTTCTTTCAAGGTCTGTGAAGAATTGTGTTGGGATTTTGATGGGAATTGCATTGAATCTGTAGGTTGATTTTGGTACGATTGCCATTTTTATTATGCTGGTTCTACCTATCTATGAGCATGGGAGATATTTCCATTTTCTGATATCTTCTTCAATTTCTTTCTTCAGGGACTTAAAGTTCTTGTCATACAGGTCTTTCACTTGTTTGGTTAGAGTTACCTCAAGGTATTTTATATTATTTGTGGCTATTGTAAAGGGTGATGTTTCTCTGATTTCTTTCTTGACCTGTTTATTATTTGTGTATAGGAGGGCTACTGATTATTTTGAGTTTATACTGAAGGTGTTTATCAGTTGTAGCAGTTCCCTGGTAGAATTTTTGGGGTCACTTTTGTAGACTATCATCATCTACAAAAATGTATCATCTTCCTTTACAAATTGTATCCCTTTGATCTCCTTTTGTTGTCTTATTGCTCTAGCTAGAACTTCAAGTACTATATTGAATAGATATGGGGATGAAAATGAAGTTGTTTTTTTTTTAGCACTGTTTCTCTATTTTTCCTACAATTCCTTTTAATCATTTGGGTCCTTTATGTCTCAACTTAGAGATACTTTGTTTTTTGTTTGTTTACTTGTTTTTCTTTTTTTGAGTTAGAACTTCATGGGATTAAGACTGGCTTTGAAGTCCTGATCTCTTGCTTCTACCTCCCCATTGGTGAGATCAGGGGTTTCCATGCCTATTTGAAAAAGACCTTTCACTAAAGGCCTAACTTTAGGGAGACCTCTGTTTCTGCAAGTTGCAGTCTTAGCCTAAACCTCAACATTTTATTTTCAGAGCCATACATAATTCTATAGGGATGTGATGATTATTACTTGGAAACAAGGATTCTTCATTTCATCCTATGGGTTCTTGCTTGTGGATAGTAAATTCCTGTTTCTTTTAGATATAAGCATTAATGGGACATTCTGAAATCTTCTTCCAAGATAAATAGGTCTTCTCCTCGTAATAACAGTTGGAAACTGAAGCCATGTTGTGCATAAACAGTTTGTAGGGTTGGAAAGATGGCTCAATGGAATGTATATATATGAAATTTGCAGAAGACAGAGTTCAGTTCCCACACCCAGGCTACCATTTCTGTCGACTATGAATGAAATTGTTGCCTATTCCAGCTTTGTAGCCTTTTATAACTCTCTAGTAACTTGTGTCCCATGGGCTTTTTCCCTCTTGCTCCTAGGACATTCTTCTGTGATTCTTTCTGTGTTTTTGTTTCTTAAGGCAGTGTGTCATGTAGCACAGGCTTCCCTCAAACTTCCTATGTCCCCAAGAATGACCTTTCATTTCTGATCCTTCTTCCTCCACCTCCCAAGTGCTGGGATTAGAAGCATCTCAATCTTTGTCCCCTTTATGTAACAGGAATTGATTCATGCATGCAAGAATGCTACTAACTGAAATACATCTTCATCCCTTTTATTCTTTTGATTAATTAGGATATTAATTATAATTTTGCTATGTACGGCTTTTGTCTGCTCACATACCTGTGTATGCTTCCTTTGCCTGGAGCCCATGGAGACCAGAAAGAGTCAGTTCCCCTAGGGCTGTAGTTACAGGTGGCTGTGAGTGACTATCAGTTGTCTTTCTGGTATTTACTGAACTCAGAAGAGAGCATTTGATTCCCTTGACCTGATGATAGGAATAGTTGGTAACCACAAGTGAATGTGGAGAAGTGATCTTCAAAAGCAACAGGTGATCTTACTGTTGACTCATCTATATACTCCATCATTTTTGTCATTTTTCTCTTTAGGACCAGTATTTACTTTACTAATGTTTTTGAGAATGCTTTCATCTCTCAGGCAGTAACTTACTAAAAATGCATTCCTTCCTAGGAATTATCAGCCTTAGAGTTTACAAGGGATCACTTCAGTTTATGATTGACAAGTACAGAATTGGAGTGATTGTTTTAACTCTATGGAGGAATTAATTTCAAGTGAGCCTCTGAGTGCTTTCTGTGTTTGTTTGTTTGAGATAGGGTGTCACAATGTACCTCTGGCTGGCCTGGAAATCTATAAATAGACCAGGCCTGCTTAGAAATCAAAGAGTATCACCTGTCTTTGCCTCCTGAGGTTTGGGATTAAAGATTGACACTACCACACCCATATTGTTTATCCTTTCTTGAAGTTAATAATTTTGATAAAACTTTACTGATGTATACTAAATAGTGTTAATCTGTTTTCATGTCTCTCTGTATATGTTACTAGGAATTTCTCCTGCAATGCCCTATTCTATTTTGTGGGCACAGAAATCGAAGGCTTGATTGTCCTTTTCTGTTTCCTTTTAAAATTTGTTGGTCACTGCATTTGATATTTTATAATCTCATCATAGTCTATATCAAGCACAATAAATTATGCAAATATATTATCAATGAAGTGTACATTTGACATGTAGTCAGTCTCAACATTTCTATTATATACATATATGGGATCCTTTAGGATTCATTGACCTATGAGGATGTCCATGTTAACTTCAGTCATGAAGAGTGGGCTTTGCTGGATCCTTCCCAGAAGAGTCTCTACAAAGATGTGATGCTGGAAACCTACTGGAACCTCACTTCTATAGGTAGGCGTGTGAGCTTTGTCACTTTTTAACTTAAGGAGATAAGCCTTTCTTGGAGATTGTTGCTCTTCTGTGATTTTGATTGTGAAAGAGGAAGAATCTAGTGAGTAAATTGGGCATTGTTCAAAGACTCACAAAAGAAAGTAATTTCAATTGTGCTTAATTTCCAGTAATATATCACATACATTTTCTGGTACTGTATTTTAGGTTACAAATGGGAAGACCACAGTATTGAAGAACATTGTCAAAGTTCTAGAAGACATGGAAGGTAATTTTCATGTGCAAACTTATACATATGTACCTTGGAAGAAATGTTAATGTACCCTGAACTTTTAAAGAAATGCAATAGTGCCGGGCAGTGGTGGCACACGCCTTTAATCCCAGCACTCAGGAGGCAGTGCCAGGTGGATCTCTGTGAGTTCGAGGCCAGCCTGTTCTAGAGTGAGTTCCTGAAAAACCAAAAAAAAAAAAAAGCAACAGTGTAAATTAGCATAGCTATGTTCTTAAATTCTTACAACACCGTGTACTCCAATGTCAGAGAACTGATCACTGTTTGGAAAGCATTTCTTTAAGGATAATATAAGGAAACAATGCCATAATAGATGTCACAATTTTAATCACAGCCATGTGAGAGGCATGTTGTAGAATTTTCTGTCTAATTATTGTCATGTGATTCTGTCATCATATAAGGTATACATGTTGATAAGGGGATTAGAGTATGTCCAAGATCTTTTATAAGCAAAGCTTCCATATTAAAGCTATACTTGTAGTGAGTGACTTAGCATAGTTTAGTGAGAGGAGCACTTTATGAGAGACAAGGAATTTATCATGGTGTAGAAACCTGAATCCAAATACCACATCTCTGAGGTACAAAATGTTAGACTATGTGAATGTAATGTGAAAACTTTTTATTTGTTATTCTTCCTTTAAAAGGCATATCAACTGTCCTTCTGGATACAAGCCATGTGAGCATAAGAGATTTGGAACGAAGCAATATACCTCTGTTTCTCCCGGAATAATTAGAAGATATGTTGTAGTCCCTACTATGAGAAGACATGATGACTGTGATACAAGTTTAAACTCTCACAGTGGAGAAAACCTTTATGAGTACAAGGAATATGGAAATTCATCTGGTTCACATGGAAATTCATCTGGTTCACTTTACGCATTTAGTGTGACTCACGATATAAGACAACATTATGCATGCAATCAGAGCTCTTCCAGTTCTTTTCAAAGATGTGAAAAAACTCATATGGGAAGAGGAAGTGATAAACTCGAGTTTTGTACTGAGGACTTTAACCATCACAGGTATCTTCAAACATACAAAACAACCAATAATGAAGAGGATCTCTATGAACATAAGGAACATGATACAGCCTTTAGATGTGATTACTCCATAAAAGTACACCAAAGAACTCATTTGGAAGGAGAACCCTATGAATATAATCAAAATGATAATGTCTCTGCATGTCACAATCTTCATCAAGTACATAGAACTCATAATAGAGGGAAAAGGTATGAATATCAGCAATGTGATGAAGCCTTTGCAAGCCCCAGTTATTTTCAAATATATACAAGACTTCATTCTGGAGAGAAACCCTATGAATGTACTGAATGTGATAAAGCCTTTGCAAGTCCCAGTTATTTTCAGATACATAAAAGAACTCATACCGGAGAGAAACCCTATGAATGTAGTCAATGTGGTAAAGCCTTTATACAGAAGAGTCATCTTTACAGGCATGAAAGAATTCATACTGGAGAAAAACCCTATGAATGTAATCAATGTGGTAAAGCCTTTGCACACAAGTATAAGCTTCTCATTCATGAAAGAATTCATACTGGAGTGAAACCCTATGAATGTAGTCATTGTGGTAAAGCCTTTGCAGAGAAGGGCACTCTTCTGAGTCATGAAAGAATCCATACTGGAGAGAAACCCTATGAATGTAATCAGTGTAGTAAAGCCTTTGCGCAGAAGAGTGACCTTCGTACTCATGAAAGAATCCATACTGGAGAGAAACCCTATGAATGTAATCAGTGTGGTAAAGCATTTGCACAGAAGAGTGGACTTCGCACTCATGAAAGAATTCATACTGGAGAGAAACCCTATGAATGTAAGCTGTGTGGTAAAGCCTTTGCACAGAAGAGTAATCTTCTCAGTCATGAAAAAAGACATAATGCAGTGAAACCCTATCTATGTAATCAAAGTGCTAAATCCTTTGCATTGGAGAAGAATTTTCTCATTCAAAAAAATCATACAGGAGAGAAAGCCTATGAATGTAATCAGTGTGGTAAAGGTTTTGCAAAGAAGAGTCATCTTTTAAGTCATGAAAGAATTCATACTGGGGAGAAACCCTATGAATGTAATCAATGTGGTAAAGCTTTTTCATGTAACAGTAATCTTCGTACTCATGAAAGAATTCATACTGGAGAGAAACCCTATGAATGTAATCAATGTGATAAAGCATTTGCACGTAAAAGTCATCTTCAGAGTCATGAAAGATGTCATACTGGAGAGAAACCGTATGGGTATAATCAATGTGGTAGAGACTTTGCATGTAACAGCCCCCTGCAAATAAAAGAAAGAACTCACAGTGGAGACAAATTCCATGAATGTAATCAATGTGGTAAAGACTTTGCACAGAACAGTCATCTTTACAATCCTGAAAAAAATCATATTCAACAAAAACCCAATGAGTGTAATCAGTGTGGTAAAGTCTTGCCATGTTGCATTGTCCTTCAAAATCATGAAAAATATCACACTGGTGAAAATCCCCATGAACCTAATGAGTGAGTCAAGCCTTGCAGTCCACATGTTTTTCCCACCGAGCTATCTCATTGGTGCTTGAGTAAGGTTAGTAGAGCCTCTCCTTAGTTAAAATATTGTGTCTTTCAAGTTGTTAACATATTGTATTCCAAGAATACAGAAATGTGGTAATTTGAATAATAAATATATTTGCAAATGAAACATTTATCTTGTCATCCATTTTTGGGGGCTTATAGTACTTCATTCTGAGGATTAAATACTAGGTAGAGAATTTTATCAGTAAATGTGATTGCTGCTAAGCCTGATCACTTGATATTGAGTTTGACCTTAGGTATATATAGATATCTTTTCTCAAAAAAAAATCCAAAAAAGGGATCTGGAAAGATGCTTGCATTTCCACAGGATGCATGTTCAATTCTCAGCACCTATGTAGAAGATCATAATGACCTTTAATGCAGAAACCAGAGAACAAGTACTTCATTTTAAATGTGAGGAGGAGCAGAAGTATTAAAAGCTCAACCATTATGTTGCATGCACATTATTTTTAATGGTTTCCAGAAGAAGGCAATTTAGATGAAGAACTATGGGACAGAGTTCAAAAGGAAAATGAAAAGACATAAAGAAGGAGAAAAGATCTGTTTGATCTTGTTCACTTTGGTCTAGTTCTAGGGGATCCAACACCCTCATACAGACATGCATTCTATCAAAACACATTTTCATCTAAAAGAATATTAAACATTTTTTTAAAGTATATGTCATATTGTGGAACTTTCCCTAGCACACTGTGGACTCATTTCTACTCAGTCAAATTATTTTTTTGCAGTCAAACACATCAAGAGAATTATGTTAACAGTTAAAATAAGCAATGTGCAGAGTCCATTCACAAAAGGATTGAAATCCACTCAATCCTTCACTGAACAAGTAGCAGGGACTTTCATCACCTGCAAATGATGGAAGGCAGAATGGGTAAAGGGTCAGGAGCATCTTCATTTTCTGTAGTATAATGACATCTTTGTGAGCTGGAGAGTTGACTCAGCGGCACTGCTGCTGTTGGGCATCTAAGTTTAGTTCCTAGCGCCCACATCAGGTGGCTCAGCAGTACCTGCAAATCCTGGTCCAGGAGGTCTGATGCACTTTTATGGCTTCCTTGGGTACCAGATATATTAATGATAAAGGTGGCTATATACATATACATGTATCTTTATGTATGTATATGTGTGTGTGTATGATAGACTCCACATTTTTAAAAAAGCTTTCTTCATGTATATGCTATGTTTCTTTTCTTAAAATTAATTTTGTTCATGTGTATTGTCAGAATACTGACCTGGAATGAAGTCTTGTGAGAAGTATGGGACAGAGTTCAAAAGCAAAATGAAAAGACATAAAGAAGGAGAAAAGATCCCTTTTGACTTTGGTCACTTGTTCATTAACATGTTCTGCAGTCACAGTAATTAAGGAGGATGTTGTCGCTAGAGTTTTCCTGCCTTGCCCACAGTCAGGACAAATCTTTGTCACCCGCAGTCCCACAATCCACTTATAAAATAATCACTCAGACGCTTATATCACTTATAAACTGTATGGCCGTGGCAGGCTTCTTGCTAACTGTGCTTATAGCTTAAATTAGTCCATTTCCATAAATATATACCTTGCCCCGTGGCTGGTGGCCCACCGGCATCTTCACATGCTGCTGGTCATGGCGGCGGCTGCAGTCAGTCCTTCTGCCTTCCTGTCCTTTTATTTCTCCTCTCTGTTAGTCCCGCCTATCCTTCCTGCCTAGCCACAGCCGATCAGGTTTTATTTATTGATCAATCAGAACAACTTGACATACAGACCATCCCCCAGCACAGCCAAGTGCAGACCATCTCAGACACCTGCACTCAGGCCCATGGTCCTAATCATCCTCTATGCGGACCTGCTGGGTAACGCCACAAAGAACCCAAGAAGGGCTCCCACAGGACATACAGAACATCCCACAGCAGGATGTTAATAATGAAGAAGTGATATCAAATTCTTGGAATGAATATAAACTTCATGGCCAAAGTTTAAAATCGGTAAAAGAGGCAAGAAAGGTAAATTTCTTTGTTCAGACAAAATTGAGAGCAAAGCACTACTGACATGGATGCAGGTGCTAGCTCCCTCAGCTCCCTTACTAGAGCCTCCTTTAGGGACAGCATATCTTCCATTTTCTGAAAAAGATCCTGAAGCATGGGGTGAATAATTTACTAATCAATCTAATCTTGAATTCTTTCCATTTCGATGAGAACTTAGGAGAGTCTGTCGGATGGTTAATTTCATTTACCAATTTTCCTTCCTTGCCTCATGAACTGTGCAATTCTCAGTGCAATTTCAGCAAAATCAAAATGTTTAACCTCTAATTATGCACTAACCAATCTATTTAAAACTATAGGATAGATGGCACTGGACTGTCTTCCTTCACATTTGTACATCAATAATACATTACCTTTCCATCACTAACCAATCTATTTAAAACTATAGGATAGATGGCACTGGACTGTCTTCCTTCACAGTTGTACATCAATAATACATTACCTTTCCATCCTTGAGTGTCATTACTTAGAAGAGTCTTGACCAAAATCATGTACAGGCTGTAATGCCCTCGCAGAAAAATAATTCTACAAATCATGGAAAACAATCATTGTTTTCCACAATGATTTCTTCATGGTCAAAGTACTTCCTGAAAACAACCATTCACTCTAAAGTTTACCCTAGATACTGGGACTCTGCTTAATTCAACAACAAATTGACATGTAGGAATATCTATAGTGTATTTTTGTATTAATGTTTTATTTAATGGGGCATATTCCAGTGCAGTTGGTACCATCCTTGGCAGGTGATTCTGAGTTGTATAAGAAAGCAAACTGAGCAAGCCATGATTGCAGGAGGTCAGGAAGTAACATTTCCCCAGATTTATAGCATATGTGCAATGCCTAAGCCTATGGTGTATATGAGTTAGCAAATCTGTTCCTGGACAGATCCTCTTGAACATTTTGTAAATCTGGAGAATTGTTATTATTAAAGAGACTATTCTTTACTAAGCTATGTGTGTGTGGAATGATTAACCATTGGTAAGGCACATTAAATCCATAACAGCTTCACTCCAGCTTTTCAGAAAAATACTTGTGAAACAAGGTCTCTTATGATGACTCATGTTTCCTTATCCCCAGTGTAGTCACACAGGGCGTTGACCTTCTTTGTCATGACTCAGCCTCCTATATTCTTGTATTAAATGTAACATCAGATGATTCTAATAGAACCCATGAGTCTCACAATGGGCTGTTAATTATTGTAACAAAATGATTTGTGTGGGCAGCACAACTTCTCATTTGAGACCAGATATAGAAGAAATAGTTTATTGTGTACAGTGCAGGAGGAAACAGTCGAGGCAATAGCTACATTAGAGGTTGTTTCAGATTAAGTCAGTGAGCTGTACCAGTCTCTGTTATAAAGGAGGTTCTGTTGGGCACAGTGAGTACCTTTCTGTGTACTTTACCAGCAAGTGCTACTTCATATCAAATGAATGAAGGAAAACCAACTGATGGGTGTACAATTGGAGAGGTTAGCTTGAGCCAGTGGAATTTCCAATTTGGCAAACCTCATATTGGTAAGTGCAAACCTGCTTGGCTCACTTGTGTCTGGTGAGAGGATTGAGACATGGGACATTTGACTGTGGCCTGTGTGTGAGCATACAGCACTTAACAGCTAATAGTTTACAAAGGGTGGGGTCATATAATTTATTACCAATGGTATTCTCATTACCAGGAAAGATCCTACTGTCTTTTAAAATTCAATGTTGCTATCTGTAACAAATCTTTCTCTATCCCACCACCCAGCTGCCAAATAATGACATGGAAATTTATTATTAATTATGAATGCTCAGTCTTATGTTAGGCTTTTCTCTAACTAGCTCTTATAATTAACCCACATCTTCTTTTTTGTTTTGTTTTGTGTTGTGTTTTTGAGACAGAGTTTCTCCTTATCGTTTTGGTCCCTGTCCTGGATCTCACTCTGTAGACCAGACTGGCCTCAAACTCACAAAGATTCACCTGGCTCTGCCTCCCGAGTGCTGGGATTAAAGGCGTGCACCACCACCTCCCGACTTAACCCATATCTTCTAATCTATGTCCTACCCCATGTTTTTTGTTTTTTTTTTTTTAACCTTTCCTTCATTCTGTTCCTGACTCCCTCTGAATTTAGTTAGCGACCCTGGTGACTCTGCCTTCTTTCCTCTCTGTGCCTGAAAGTCCCAACTGGACCTCCTGTCTAGCTATTGGCCATTTAGCTCTTTATTAAACCAACCACAGCAATATATCATCACACAGTGGACAGCTATGTGTGCTTTAGTTATTTTTATCTTCTTTTAAAGTCAAGTGTTGGCATCTGTGTTAGTCAATTTTCTGTTCCTGTGAAGAGTCGCAATGACCATGGGGACTGTTATAATGGGAAGTATTTAAGCAAGGCTTGCTTATAGTTTTAGAGGTTTAGTCCATTTTGGCATCACAGGGAACATGGCAGTGCATAACCAGACATGGTGTCTCAAAGCTCTACATCCTATCTATAGGCAGCAGAAAGAGAAAGTATTTTGGCCTACCTTGGGACCTTGAATCTTGAAGCCCACCCACAGTGGCACATCCCCTTCGAAAAGAACATGTCAATACCTGCAAGATTACACCTAATCCCGCCAAAGCATTCTATCATGACTAAACATTCAGACATACTGGCCTATAGGGGCCACTCAGCAACAAATCACATACTTCAACATTACCCATTACAAAAGGGTAGTTTCCCAGCATAAATATTACCATTACAAAAGTGTGGAATGGAAGCACAGTGAGGAAATACTGGAACAAAGCAAGGCAAAAAATCAACTTGGCAGACAATACATTCTGTATCTCCATGTCTGATGTCAAAGCACACTTCACATCTGTTCCTTTCAGCTTTGTTGAAGTAACACTCTTCTCTGCCTTGGACTGGTTCCACACCCTGTTAGTAGGTTTCCTTGGCAGGTATCTAATGACTCTGGCTTCTCCAGCTTCTTGGAGTCTCCAACACAATACAGGCATCACCTTCACAGCTTCAGGAAATGGTTTCTCTGGACTTCCATGGAGAGAAACCCCTTACACATGCCTGGCCTCAGGAGCTGTCCTCTGTTTCAGAGGGAGATTCCACAACACCTTCCCAAT